CTTAAAAAAATGGAGAAAAAAATTGTAACCGAGTAAATAATCTGGGGTTCAAATGATATAAGAAAAGAAGTTGGGGCAGAAAAATGTAATTTAACCAACTCTTCGTGACAATGAATCAAACCATATGAGGGGGTTGCTGCACAGCTCTGAAACTTAAACCGAAACACTTCTTGCGGGCGGAAACCTTTATTTCTTTTTCCCTTTGAAGTCTGAACTTCTCTAGTCGTCATCTCTGCCGCTCAGCCGTCCGTCGCCAGCATCTCGCCGCTGACAGCCAAACGGGTCTTCTGGTCCTACCTCGCACTCTCTCATCCAAAGGGACTGGTAATTTCTGTTTCTTCTTTCTCACTCTCTTTTTCTTTTCTTTTTTTCTTTTCTTTTTTTTTTTCTGTGTTTTATTTTATTTTTTTCAACTAATAGAGCAAAGAGAGTTTCCAAAATTGGTGAGTCTGGGGTTTGAAGCTTTTATATTTAAAACGTTGTGAGGTGTTGGTAGAGATCAATTTTGATGAATTGGGGACTTCCTCCTCCTAATCTAGGGTTGGATGTACTTTTGGATAATGAAGACTCGTAACTTCAATTTATTTAGGGTAATAAAGCTTAATTTATCTCAAATTCTTCATGCAAATCTTCAAATTTTGTGTTTTACTGTTTCTTGGTCTTTGATCTATGCCTGTAGATTCTCCTGCAAAATAGTTTGCTTTATTAGTTCATGAAAGTTTTTTATGCTTTTCTTGCAATAGCGTTAAAAAAGATAAATTATTTAAAGATTGCTCTTTTCTTATGGGTTCTGAATTTTTTGGATGCTTTGTCATTCAGACGTATAGAAATTTAGAGTACTAAATATGGCTGAAAATTTTGATCATGTGTGCGTTCATGATACAGAAATTTATTGCTTTTTGTTTAAACTTAGGGTGATTCTTTTGTTGTTCAATCAATAGTTAGGCAGCTGTAAATTCAAACAGTAATCCGTTTGCATATCACCTATAGCTTGAAAGCAAGGAAGAGAAGACAGAAGAACAGCAACAATGGCAGGCTTAGCTGCTGTCCTGGAGCCAAAACCCTCCACAGAACTGGCATTACCCTCCATAAGATCTGACCCAGCTCACTCCATGGATCCGACCTCTGAAGAGGACGATCTCTACAGCCGCCTAAAATCACTACAGCGCCAGCTTGAGTTCATTGACATTCAAGAGGAGTATGTGAAGGATGAGCAGAAGAACCTGAAGCGGGAGCTGTTGCGAGCCCAGGAGGAGGTCAAAAGGATCCAATCTGTGCCACTGGTTATTGGCCAATTTATGGAGATGGTGGACCAGAACAATGGCATTGTTGGCTCCACCACTGGGTCTAATTACTATGTGAGGATACTGAGCACCATCAATCGTGAGCTCTTGAAGCCTTCTGCATCTGTGGCACTTCACAGACATTCTAATGCTCTTGTAGATGTCTTGCCCCCTGAGGCTGATTCAAGTATTTCTCTGCTTAGCCAGTCTGAGAAACCTGATGTCACTTATAATGTGAGTTTGACTTTTGTTCACCCTTTATTTGTGATTGAATCTCAAATTTAAATAGATTAATTCATGATGAAGAATTACTTGATCTACATTTTTCATTTCCCATTCGCCCATCCAATATTCCATCAACAGCATTAGTACATTGGACATAAGAGTTACCCCCATCTAATCACTTGGTGTTATTTATAATTATTGTGGTTATGTATAGTTTCTTGTTTCTGAGACTTCATTCTTTTTCTCTTAGGATATTGGAGGATGTGACATTCAAAAGCAGGAGATTCGTGAAGCAGTGGAGTTACCATTGACTCACCATGAATTGTACAAGCAGATTGGAATAGACCCACCTCGTGGTGTTCTGCTTTATGGTCCCCCTGGAACTGGGAAAACCATGCTTGCAAAGGCTGTTGCTAATCATACAACTGCAGCTTTTATCAGAGTTGTTGGGTCCGAATTTGTTCAGAAGTATTTGGGTGAGGTATGATTCAGGTTTGATATTAATTTGCTTTTTACCATAATTGGCCTCACTTTACTGGTTATTTGGCTTTTCACTGTCACTGACTTATTATTATATTCACTCTATTCTTACCGTATGATTGGCTGTTTGGTTTTTGAATTATAATATCATTTCCATTTTTGAATTTCAGGGCCCACGGATGGTTCGTGATGTTTTCCGTCTTGCTAAGGAGAATGCCCCTGCCATTATCTTTATTGATGAGGTAGATGCCATTGCAACTGCCAGGTTTGATGCTCAAACTGGAGCTGATAGGGAGGTTCAGAGAATCCTCATGGAACTGCTTAATCAGGTATGAGTGTGGAATTATATGAATAGTTGTTTAGATATGATAAAGAAGGTATTGTCCTGCAAAATCTTAGAAAAGGTCCTTATATAAATTTACCTTATCCTGATGGCTCCTTGCTGGAACTGTTGCTTTTGTGATGAACTCTTCTAGATGGACGGGTTTGATCAGACAGTGAACGTCAAGGT